TGTGTAGATGTTAAATTATATAGGTTAATGATTGGATCTTTGCTTTATCTAACGGTAAGTAGACCAGATATTATGTTTAGTGTTTGCTTATGTGCTACATTTCAATCATGTCCTACGGAATCACATTTACTAGCTGTTAAGAGAATCTTTAGATACCTTAAGGACACTCCTAGTTTAGGACTTTGGTATCCTAGAGACTCTAGCTTTAGCTTGCATGCCTTTTCTGATGCGGATTATGGAGGATGCAAATTAGATAGGAAAAGCACCTACGGTACTTGCCAATTCCTTGGAAATATGCTAATTTCTTGGTTTTCAAAGAAACAAAATTGTGTTGCATTATCTACCACTGAAGCCGAATGCATTTCAGCTAGTAGTTGTTGTGCACAAGTTTTATGGATGAAACAACAACTTTTTGATTATGGAATTGAAGTAGGTATCATTCCTATCAAGTGTGACAATACTAGTGCTATTTGCCTCACTAAAAATCCCATCCAACACTCTAGAACTAAGCACATCAAATAAGACCTCACTTCATTAGAGACCATGTCACTAAGGAAGATGTAGTTCTAGAATTTGTTGATACTTTGCACCAATTAGCGGATATCTTTACAAAACCTTTAGACAAGGAAAGATTTTGGACACTTAGGAGAGAATTAGGTTTGACCAACCTATCTTCACTTAGTGTTTAAAATAATTTTAGCACTTTTAAGACTAAATGAAAAATGCTTAATTTTTTATTGCATTCATTGCTATTAGTTAGGGGGAGTTTATGATTCTTGATGAAAATTAATTTTATGTTCAAATATAGTTTAAAGATTAATTTGATTGTTTGAACGTGATTAATTTTCAATATATGAGTTGCCAATAGAGAAAATTAATTTAGCATTTTGTGTGTTTAAAATCGGATTTTAGCATTTTGGTGCAGAGGGAATTGATACCCCCATGAGGGAACCAATTCCCCTTTGAAGGGGAACCGATTCCCCCACAGGGGAATCGATACCCCCCTGGGGTTCTAGTTTTATCGGGCAGAACCCTTGGTTTTGGCTCAAAACCTCTCTTCTCTTCCGTCGTTCTTCCCCTCTACTCTCTCAAATCTCCATTTTGCCTCAAATCAACGTTTTTAATCGAAATTCACTTCAAATATCATCTTCTAAACCTGCTAGCATCATTAAAATCGTGCAAACAACATCAAAATCCACTCAATCTCATCTTTCAAGGTAAATTTTTCTAAACTCTCTATTTCATTGATTTTGAACATAGAAATAGTTTTAATTAGTTCTAGATAGAAATAGTGATGGGCATTGATTGTTTAGTGATTAGAAACTAGATATTACAATTAATTTAATAAAAAACACAAGAATTTTCCAAAAATTTAGAAATTTTTGAAATAAAAAAAATGTTTTTCAAATTATTGTGTTTTAATTGAATTATGTTGTTGTTATGAAAACTATACATACATTGTTTTTCAAAATCTTATTTTTCAATAGTTTTAAAAAACTTTGCCCATTAGGATTGATTTAGTGAACCTTGAAATATTGAGGACTCAATTGAGTTTTGGGATTGATTGAATTGCATACATGTGTTTTCTAAATTGTAGGTTATCCATTCAATTTCGATTTCCTAAATGTTTAGTTAAATTTATTACACCATTTAAATCATGTTAGATATATGACCAATTTTGCCCTGTCACATTGTTTCTGAATATTGATTATGAAACTAATGGCTAACGTTTCTCTTGATTGTGATCTTAGCAGCTTAAATTATATATAATCAAATTGGCTACATGATTTGAAAACCTTGTTTAAATTCTTTTAAAATGTCTTTTTGATTTAACAAAAAGGGGGAGAAGTGTGTTAAATGTTTTAAATTGTAGAAGTGTTAAAGTAAGGGGGAGTAATTTCAAAACTTGATTTCAAAATCTTAAAATTACTAAAATGTTTTGTTATATCAAAAAGGGGGAGATTGTTGAAAATATTTTGATATTTCGATATAACAAATTAAGTTAAATGAATTTTAAGATTTTCCAAAAAGATTTTCTAAGTATATTCGATATAATTATTCGAATATCAAAATATTACTCCAAATCTTTCAAATGTCATTTTTAATCCTTACTCAAGTGTAAAATTAAGTTTTAATCTTAAAATAATTTCAAAACGATTTACAAAATATTTCGAACCATCTCAAAGCCAAAAATTCCAGATTGCTCAGAGGGAACCGATTCCCCCCAAGGGGGTACCGATTCCCCCTGAATGGTTTGGCTCCGAGAATTCCAGTATGCTTGGAGGGAACCGATTCCACCCTTGTTTAACGGTCGAAATATTTGAATTTTACACTTAGGGAACTGATTCCCCCCACGCTCCAAACTGTTTTATTAATTGATTTCACACTAAAACGGCTATATTATCTTCATTAATTATCCCCAACGTTCAGAAGTGATTCAAGGTGTATTTAAGCAAGCTTAGAAGCCATTGATCAACAACAAGAAACATCAAGCAACTAGAATCAAGAGAGAATCAAAGAGAAAGCATCAAACCTCAAGTTTGAGCATTTCAAGCCTATTTTTTATTCAATATTCATTTTGCTTTCAAGAACACTTATTGTGCTCAATTGTATTTATTCTTGAGTGTTCTTCTCTTTGTTCTAGAATTGTGCAAACAATCTACCTTGTGAGGATTTCCTTGTAAGTTTGCAAATTTGTATTGTTCTCTTTGGGAGAGAGTGTTCTCAAGAATTTGGGGTATAATTCTTGAGGGTTTGTAAGGTTACTCTTTGTCCTCAAAAGAAAGACAAATTAGTGAATTTGTGGAAAATCCTTAGTGTGGATAGCTAAGGTAGTGGATGTAGACTTTGGTTGAGAAAGTCGAACCACTCTAAATCGCTATGCATTTCTTTCAATTTTCTGCAAAAGCTTCACCAAAATTTTTATTGTCAATTCACCCCCTCTTGGCCGATTCCGTCAATCGATTAACTCAACAGGTTGACAATTAAAAATAGGCACAACCTATAATGTTAAACTTATAAATTTGGTTTATCTTACTTTTGCATCATAAAAACGGTTTCAGACATAATAAAAATGTTTGACAATTTAAAAAAGGCGCAACCTAGAATGTTAAACTTATAAACCTGTTTTGACTTAATTTTCATAATAGAAATGATTGAAAATTTAAAAAAGGCGAAACCTAGAATGTTAAACTTATAAATATGTTTTTTTTCTTACTTTTCATAATATAAACAGTTTCAAATATATAATGTAAAAGGTTGACAATTTAAAAAAGGTGCAACCTAGAATGTTAAACTTATAAACCTGTTTTGTTTTACTTTTTCATAATATATACGGTTTCAAACATATAATATAAACGGTTGATAATTTAAAAAAAGCTATCAACAATGTTACATGTATAACCTATTTTGTTTTAGTTTTTCAAAATATAAACGGTTTTATACATATAAAATATTCAAAACTATGAATATTTTTTCACAAGTATCGATACTTTTGAATTAAAAAAATGAAAAATGAGAAGGTTATAAAGTATCGATAATTTCTCACAAGTATCGATAATTTTGAATTAAAAAAAAGATGGAAAATGGTATTTTAACTTTCGAATTTAAAGCATGAATATTTTTGGAAAAAATATACATACTTTTGAATTTAAAAAATGGAAAATGAAAAGGTTGCAAAGTATCGATATTTTCCCAAAAGTATCTATACTTTTAAATTCGAAAGTTAAAATATTATTTTCCATCTTTTTTTCTAATTCGAAAGTACCGATACTTGTGAAAAAGTATCGGTACTTTACAACATTCTCATTTTCCATGTTTTTTAATTCGTAAGTATCGATATTTATTAAAAAGTATTCATACTTTTGATTTTTTTATAAAAAAATATTAACATTCCAAATCATAAACTATTTATTAGTAAACCATGAAATTCTTGAGCGTAACCCATTTTATTAATAAAAATATTAACATCCCACATCACAAACTATTTCTTAGTAAACCATGACATTCTTGGGAACAACCCATTTTATTAATAAAAATATTAACATTATAGATCGCAACCTATTTCTTAGTGAACTATGACATTTTTGGGCGCAACACATTATATTAATGAAAATATCAACATTCCATATCACAACCTATTTCTTAGTGAATCATGACATTCTTGGACGCAACCCATTTTATTAATAAAATTATTAACATTCCAGATCACAACCTATTTCTTAATGAATCATGACAGTCTTGGGCGCTAACTCATTTTATTAATAAAAATATTAATATTTCATAGCGCAACCTATTTCTTAGTGAACCATGATTTTCTTGGGCGCATCTGTATTTCTTATATATATATATATATATAATATTTTTAACTTTTAACTTATTTTTTTATCGTGAGAAAATTTAAGACTCTATCAGCTTCAACTCTGGTAACATTTTAGTTGCAACCTAAAATGTTAATAATATTTATAACATTTATCATTTATAACTTATTTTCTTACCATTATGACATTTTAGGTACAATCTGTTATGTTTATACAATTGATAACTTTTCTAGTTACACATTATAACAAACTATAAGAAAATTCCAGGTTACACTATTTTAAATTATTTTAAAATAATTATAACTTAATATATTACATTTAATTCAACATTTCCAATAACACTAAACTTATTTTATTAAATTTGTTTTTAAATTTGTGATTGTATTATTTTTTTAACCTTATATTATGTTTGCCTTTGTTACACCGAATACAGTACAAGTGGTCCCATACTCTAACCCAATAAAGTTAAATTCATAAGTCACCCATGTGACGTCATCATACCACGTGGCAGCACCGAAGAACCTTCGTTGCATCCCTCCAGGAAGTGTCCATGAAGCAGCAGCTCATAAAATTAAAAGTTGAAGGGAAAAAAATAGGAAGGAAAAAGAATTACATTATTTAGGATATTTAAAATTAAATGTATAAAATGGTTTGCAGCTATGCCAAACAAGCTCCCCTTCCTACAACCCTGTCTAAGACCAAAGTCCAGTTTTTCCTTAGAAAATGGACTTTTCTCATCAAAACCCTAACCCTAATTACACCTTCTTCTCTGAAAACCCCAATCCCATGCCTGATTTCCAGCTCTCTGATTATCTTAAGCTCGATGAAGGCATCTTTGACGACGCCGACGCCTACTCGTCTCAAATTATGGCTTCGTCGGAGAAGGGCATCGCTGCCGCTACTGAAGTCAGTGGTGCAACCTCAAAAAGAGTAACATGCAAGTGATATATATTATGAGCTCCTCAATGGATCTTTTCTCCCTTCGTTTAAGGTATTCATTGATATTTTGGGTTAAAAAATTGCAGAAAATGCAAAAATGGAGCGGGGAAAATGAAATCGGACCTGGGGGTTCGAGTTGCGTTGAGAATGAAGTCGGAGATGGACGTGACCGACGATGGATACAAATGGAGGAAATATGGTAAAAAGTCCATCAAGAACAGCCCCAACCCAAGGTAATTTCCTGATTTTATTTTATTGATTGCATGAAATCTATGATTAAGATATGAAATTATTCAGTTCCACTGATGGATGAATGGTGGATCTCATCATCATGGTTTCAATAGGAAGCGTACCCCCTAACTTCGTATACATCTATATTAAAAATATAATACTTTCAACTTGATAATTATTAACTTCTTGTTCCTCGTGGTCAATTGGAAATAATAATAATATTTAAGTATGCAGAAAATCTATGTCTAAAAACAATGGATTTGGATTTTTTTATATCATAAAATGAGGCACCATATGGGATTTTGATATTATTATAGTTGAAGTCTTCAACAATTTGCAGCAATATGCTAATTAGTAAGCATTATTTTTGTATTATTTGAAACATACCTCTTTGTATCAAAGAAGAGTACAAATAGCTTTATTTCCCTTTTTATCACTTCCGGTGCACATGGTTGTGCACTCCATGTAGAGTTGATCATAAATCCCATCACATCAAACATGCCCCCAACAAGATGCATCCATCACTCCACATACACTGTGTGCTGCTGCGTTTATGTCCACACCAAAACTAGTTTTGCATTCATCGTTCAAGTAGAAAACGCATCCATCACTCCACATATATGTACCCTAGTGTGGACGGATGAGTTTATTCTCGTAATATAAAATTTAAATGCACAATTCCGAGTTCTGGACCACATCAAAGCAAAATAATGCTTTGCGGCTATAAAAAAAATTCACATTTCAATGTTGCTGTGAATATGTCTTTATGTCATCTGAACTTATTTTTATGTCTTCAATATGCATTAAATATAGGATACGGATGCCAACATTTTAACAAAAATAAAAATATGAGTAGGGTAATGTGATTACTGATTTGTATGTATACTTTTTATACATCTCTCGAAATTACTTCGAAAAATCATCCTATGATTAATATTTAATACATTAATTATAATTTAACATATCATTATAAAATTTTATTGAATTAAAAAATAACTGAGTAATTAATATTTTAGGTGTTTTTGTCCTCATGTTCTTGCACATTGTTCAAGTTAAAATTTTAAGTTAGCGGCTAAGTTAAGCAAAAACAAAAATAAACTACAGCAATATGGCAACTATTCGATTATTTATAATAGATTTATGTATAAATTATTCATCTCGTGACTCACATGAATACTTATATTATCAAGTAACTTACAAACCATCACTACTACTAAAATGTATATGCATAAATATCAGAAACACGTGTCATATTCGATTATGTATAATAGATTTATGTAGAAATTAATGTTCATGATCATTAGCATATAGAGACATCTACTTGGTACTTCAGCTTTATATACTTGCTTTTCAAAATAGACCTTATATTTTGAGATATTCTATTTCGAAAATTCCAAATTCTAACTTTTTGAATGTAGACAAGAAGATAATGATTTATGAGTTAGAAAATGTGTATATGTATACTTGAACATATATATCCCCGATTGTTTTGTTGGTTGAGATCATGTGGAATACATTGTTGGGTAATGCAGGAATTATTATAAATGTTCAAGTGGAGGATGCAATGTGAAGAAGAGGATAGAAAGGGACATAAATGACAAAGGTTATGTGATAACTACATACGATGGTGTTCACAACCATGACACCCCATCCATGCTTTACTATAATCAAATGCCCCTTATGGCTCCTAATGCTTGGACGATGCAACCTTCTTCTTCTTCTTCTTCTACATGAATGTATACTTACAACTATGATTATCTTGTTGCCTAAAATGGTCAGCTACTTGAAAGATATACGAAATGTTTCTGGTTGACACACTAGGCTTTTTTTGGGTGGCTGAGCAGTTAAAAATCCAGCCCGTAGGGGAGAGAGGGGCTATAGTCCTTAAAGCTCACTTTAGACCCAATAGAATTGTCACTGGGCCAATCTGGTGGATTAACTACCAGTCATCCTTCTTGTTATATAAAATAATGGAAATACAAGAATGTTGAAAATATACAAATTCTAATTTACTTCAAGCATAATTATTACAAATCATACAAGTAAATGACACATACAAAACACAAACACACATCTAAGATAGGTTGATGGGATTTTAGTTTACAGCTCATCGCGAGATTCTTCATTACCGGAGACAGGGGCAGTCCCTTTGAGCTTCTCGGTTGTTCTGTGGATAGCTTCTGCAGCAGATTTCGCAGTTTCTTTAGCGATGGCTTCACTTGTTCCGATGCTGTCCTTCACTGCTTCTTTCACCTTCTCTCCCGCACCAACAGCTGCAGCTGGGCCTTTGCCTTTGCCTGTGCCCCTAAAACTAACCACACACATATTCAAATGGATTCATCATAGTATGTAATAAACAAAAGCAGGGAACGTCATGCAGTGCAAATGATGTTCTTACTCGAGACTTGGAGGGGTGAAGTGCAACTGGAGCTCGTGGACGATGCCTTTCATCTTTTCCCAATAACTCTTATGGGATTTCTTCAACAACGCAAGGGTGTTTGACAGTAACTGGAACACAGTTGGCTTCTCTTCGTTCTGTTTTTCTTGGCAAACTACGGGTCGAATTTGATGGGATATGATGATTAACCAAAGAAGAAACAGTGACAAGGGTGTTGCTCTAGATTTGTTCATTCTTAAAATTTTCAAAACTGAATGTTGGAAAAGCGAAAGGAAGTGATGTTTGCAGGTTTGTAGTTAGGGGATGCTTTCATGTTTGGACACGTTCTACTGAAACGTGGTGCGATCACCCTAATTTTAGGCATCCTTTCTAGTCTTCTAGACATTTCTAATATTACAAATATTAGGATAAACACTCCATTTAGTTCTTGAATTAATTTTATTCTAATTATTAAAGAAATGCTTTTTTCAATTAAGTCATTCATTTACTTTAATGATTAAGTTAAATCACAAAAAAATTAAGTTTTACAAATCCTGGTCATTTATCTCTCAAACATTTTAAGATTTTTTTTTTCATTCTTTATTCTGATTCACCAATATTTTTATTTTTTAAATTTTATATTATATCTTTATTTTTTATATTTTTATTTTTAATAAATTCATGACACTTTTTCCTGACTTTATAGAATGTCTTTCTCTACTTTTATGATATATTTTCATTTGTTTAGTTTTTTTAATTTATTATTTTTTAAAATTGAATTTGTCATGCCACAATAATTAAAATAACATTTATTTATTATCATGTTTTTTTTTTGTTTTATCATGTTGCTTTTTTTTTTTTACTTAAAATTCTCAAACTAGATTTAGAAGTAAAATTTACGTTTGTGAATCACATCACTCAAATGATTTATTTATTGACACAGTCCATCAAAATTGTACCTTGTTATATATTTAATTTACATTTATAGTTATAAATTTTTATTATAATTTTAAATGCTTCTTCATTTTAATAAAATTAATTGTTTCTATAAAAATAATAATTTAAGTTAAATTAATTTAGGTCACAAATAAAAACGATTATGTATTCATTCTTAATTAAGATAATAATAATATTAGCCTCTCATATTTGAGAAAGCCAGGCAAAAAGGCTTCCCAGTTCAGTTATTTTAACAATAGAATTGAGCATGAATGAGGAGGAACATCCTTTTACTAGACCAATGAAGTTCACCATTTATGAATTGCAAACCACCACCAAATAAAAACGAAGAATTGAAAACGGCTGCGATTTACAAAGCTTCGACATTCATGTAGGAGCTTCGGTTCTTACAACACTACTCCCATAAAATTATATACAAATGGTGGTGGTGGTCATTCGGTTCTTACACTGCATGGGTCATCTTCAATCAATGTGTGGTATAGATTTCAGTTCCACCTCTTGGAATTCTTGAGCCCTTTCGATTTTTGTTTAGCTGCTTGAAACGCCTGCCTTCTTTGTTTCTTTTGAGCTTCCTTCTCCGCCTGTTCAAACCACCAAGCCAAGGTTCATGTTATCATCTACACCATGACCTCCCCAGTTTACAAACAGCTATGTTCCTTACCTTTGACATCTTTGATTTCGCTTTTACTTTCGGAGCTTTCTCTTCAAGTTCCGCCTCACGCTCCAATTCCTTCTCCCTTGCCTCTAGGTTCTTCTCCAAATAGTACTGTTCATTTGAGATCAGTGCCAACAGTTAATCGAAAAAGAAACAACTCATTGAACAACATAGTTCAGGTGAATAAACTTCTTAGCTGATGGAGAAAAATAGCAAACATGTATCTGAGTTGCCGAATGAAAACCATACATTGTAGTCGCCTGCATAGTCCTGCAAATGCCCGTCTTTTACTTCCACTACTCTGTTCACTATTTGCCGGATGAAGTATCGGTCATGAGATACCGTCATCACAGTGCCACTGTACTCTCTGATTGCCTCCTGATTGAATTGAAAGATTGCTCAACAAATGAGTGATAAATCAAAACGCTATAATATCAGGATAAAAGGATGAAGGTCTAAGACAAAACCAAACCTCTAGCATCTCTTTTGAGGGTATATCCAGATGATTAGTTGGTTCATCCAAAACTAGTAGGGTTGATGGTTTCACCATGAATTTGCAAAAGGCAAGACGTGCCTGAATCGAACAGGAAGAGACAACATTCAAATATATGCCTTCAACACATAATTATTTCAGGCATGAAAAACAATATGCAATAGGCACTAATTCACCAAATATTGTGTGTGTGCAGGGAGGCTTTGGAAGAAATAGGCATGCAGACCATGCGACGTTAAACAGAACCATATTAGGTTAATCTTGTATCGAAATTCATCAGCATGTATAATGTTAAACATTCATTTTAAAAACACCCTCAACAACCTGACTAAATAAATTTTTGCTAAATCGTATAGGAGTCATGAATGAAACAGTTTTTTTTATGAAATCTATAAAAGAAAAAGATACGAAAAAAAAACTAAATGTAGTGTATTTACCTTCTCACCACCACTCAATAGGGAAACCTTCCTGTCCAGCATATCGGCTTTGAAGTTGCAACGACCAAGGAGCCCCTTAATATCATCAATTCTCCAGTCTTCTGCAACTTCCTCCACTGTCTGAAGCACTGTTTTATCCAAATCAAGAGCCTCAGCCTGAAAGAAAGTTGCTAAATTCAGCACTTTGTACTTTCTTAGCTCAAAAGAGGAGCTCAGGTACTAAGCAGGAAGATCATAATCATCTCCACTACAAATAATGAATTCTTAGAGGCGACATACCTGATTCTGCTCGAAATAATTTGGTAAAACGTTATGCTCCCCAAGGAGCACTTCACCACCACTTGGTTTCTCTAAACCCATAATCAGTTTCAGTAAAGTACTCTTTCCGCAACCATTTGGACCAATAATGGCAATTTTCTCTCCCCTTTCAATTGAAAGATTTGCCTTGTTAAAAAGCATCTGACGCAAAAACCAAACAATTGTCAAAAAAGAGAACCGCCTAAAAAAAAAAATCTAAACCATACTCCTCACACCATCAAACATTTCAACTCACCTCATCCTCATAACCAAATTCCAGATTCTTAATAGTAACAACAGATCTTCCACTTCTTCCACGCTCAGGGAACCTGATCTTCATTTGTTTCCGTTGAAATGGCTTCTCTATTTGTTCCTCTTCTTGAAGTTTCTCCAGCTTCTGTTACAACACAGAAGGAGAAGCAAACATTAAGTAGCCAGAAAAACATTCAGAGTCTAAACAATTGATCTCATTAAACACTAGCACAAAGTATGATGAACCAGTAACTATCAAGTGGCACACACCATCATAATCAAAAGAAAGAAAACAAAATACAAAAATTTCAGGCAGCAGCAACCTTAATCTCCAAACAAAGTTTCAACGGCATTACTGAGAACTAAGTTTAGGAATACAAAACAATCATAAGGCTACTCAGGACAAATTGTCTTGTCTGAAATAAAGTTGAAATGGAAGAAGTAAGAGGAAAAACAAGAAAAGAGAACCAAGTTGCATACCACTATTCATAGAAAATATTGTTTATGCAAATCAACTTTTAGATCATCATGTCAAGAAATATACAGGTTTCACCTCATGTGATCCACATTGTGCATTATTTGTGGTCCAGAATAGAAAACTAATTCATCTGATAAAAGTGATCATAAAACTTGACAAGGAAAGAAGATATTCTGGCACTCATTTGAAATATTACAGTCAGTCAAGAAGGTCGGCAATCTGGGACTAATTTCATTTCATCATTAATAGATGCATATTTACCTGATAATGTTATGATGGCATAAAACTAATCATCTTTACACAACAATGATCAATGCAGACAGCTTGCATTCCTAAAAATTGAAATGGAATATATTTCAGGAATGAATCGTCCTCAATTGTACCTTTTCAGCAGAAGAAGCACGACCAGAATTTGCCCCAGCACCTAGGCGGCTTATCAAGTCTTTTGTCTGCTCAATCTCCTTCTGTTGCTTCTCCCATGCAGCATACTGAGATTCAACCCATGCTGCCTTCGCCTCAACATACTGAGAATAATTACCCTCAAATGTCCTGGAAACACCCATATCAGTCTCTACAATCTTTGTACACAGCTGATCTAGAAATGCTCGATCGTGAGATATAATAACCATTGGAACATCTTGCTTGTTGAGATATCCTTCAAGCCACTCAATTGTATCGAGGTCAAGGTGATTTGTAGGCTCGTCCAATAGCAATAAATCAGGTTCCTGCAAATTTACATCATATCAACAAAACACTTAGAGTACCAATATACTCTTCCACGTATCATACACATGAACAACAGATCAACAACCTCCACATCATCAAAAGATATCTAACAAGCTAACCTGCTCATAGCCAAAATTTGCTATCACTTATGCAGCAGTAAACAATATTATTTAGAACATTACTATTACTGCGTATATATACATACATTGAAAAAATTATATTCGTTAGGCTCAAGAAATTCATTGCCACTACTTTATTTAACAAAGCAAAAAAGAAACATTGGGATAAACTAGGCAACTATCATGATATCAAATTAATAATTGTACCTGCAACAAAATCTTTCCAAGTGACATCCTCATCTGCCAGCCACTACTAAAACTGGCAACCAACCTATCGGAATCCTCAGGCGAAAACCCGAGCTCCGGCATCAATTTGCTAACCTTAGCATCAACCTCATCCAAATCAACAGCCTGAGCTCTTCTTTGCAACAAATCAAACTCATCCAAAAGCCTTCCCATCAGCTCCAAATCCTCGGTAGCCCCTTCTATCGCCTTTTGAACCCTCTCTAACCTCTCAGAGATTTCCATTTCCTCTTTAAAGGCACTCATAAACTCCTCCCTCACCGTCCTGGTCATCGAAACTTCGAATTCTTGGTTCAAAAACGCAACTTTCATCTGGGGTTTGCCCTTTATAACGTTCCCAGAATCGGGCTCTTCTAGACCCGTTATAATTCTCATTTGGGTCGTTTTCCCTGCTCCGTTTACCCCAACCAATCCAACTTTCTCACCTTTTTTCACTTCCCAGCTCACATCTTTCAAAACCGTTACTCCTTTATAGCTCTTGCTAATGTTTTCGAGCTTCACACCAGATGAAATACCCGAAGCTCCGGTGTTGGATTGCCTGTTGCCACGCTTTCGATCAATCTCTTCCACTGTGTCGGATGAGAACAGTGATTCGATGTCGTTTTGAGGGTCTTTGACGGAGGTCTCAACACTGAGAGTGGAAACTTGGGAAGTTATCTTAGCGGGTCTAAATTTAAGGCATTTGGGGGAGACAAATGAGGAGGAACCCCTTGTAAAAGAGGGTCGTAGAGAAGGAAAGAACGATGAGTGAAGGTCTAAGCGGTGGAGTTTTGTGGAAAGGTCCATGTTTGGGTAGTGGGAAAGTGAAGGGAAATACAGGGAAATGAAGGGAAAAGAAAAGGAATGATAATCTCCGAAGAGGAGCAATGGGGGAGTTCCTCTGCGAAAATCTGTGGAAGAGAACTAAGGAACTCTAAGCCCACGAATTAGAGAGAGATATCGGTGAAAGAGGAGGAAACTCTTCTAGAGAAATTTTATATTACATGGAAATGAAAAAAAAGCATTTAATTCAAGTGAAAATTTTCTAAAATACTTTTTCTATATTCATTGAAGATGAAAAATTGCCAGTAAAAAGAATGTTACTTTTATTAATCATTCTTTGATTAGTTTATTTTTTCATAATTTTATTTGATTGAATTCTTGTTTATTCTATAAGAAATTATATATTTATTGTTCATGCAGCATGATTTAATAAGATATCCTTCGATTTCCCAATTCTTTTTCCTATAATATTATTTAAAAAATCTCGTTCATTGTAATTGAATTATGAAATTCTATTTTTTATTTAATACGTATCAAATTAAAGCATGAAATATTTATATATAATATTTTAAAAAATTTAAATAACAAATTTATTTAAAAGGACTTTACTTATATGATAGTATCAGATCTAAACCTTGAGGTCGTGGGATCAAGTCCCACGGAGGGCATTTCATAATTTGGAGGTCTCCTACGGAAGCTGCTCTCAACCTGGTGTTGGGGGCAGCCTACTATCTTACCTCCCCTTACCCCATACATATGGGAAAAAAGGGACAGCCATAGTATCAGATCTAAGCTTAATCGATCGATAGATGATTAATTGAAAAAATAACAAATTTATTTATTATGTAACATAATTCAGATTAAATGAACTTAAATTATTTAAACCGACTTTACTTATATGGCAGATTTATTCTAAAAAATTATAAATATAAATATAAGTATAATTATATATTTTTATTTAATTATTTGGATAAAAGTATTATTCGATTATAATTTGAAATTTAAATTTTATCTTAATTTTTTTACTAATTTCAAGTTAAAAATATAAGTTTAATGTAAAAAAATTGAATAATTTTGGTAGAAAAAAAGATATTCCTTTAGAATTAAGATATTTTTTTGGTTAAGAGTAATGTATTTTGGTCACCACTTGATAAAATAAAAATAAAAATTGTAGTTTTCTGTTTTGAAAATCGGATTGAATTGATCGGTTCAATCGGAAATCATTGCTTAGTTCGGTTTAATCTAAACCGATTGAATCGTTATTAGTGAACCGGCCAGAACCATAGAACCGTTCGAACCAGACCGGTTAAAAACCGGGAAAAAAAGGGAAAAATCGGGATTTTTGTTTTTTTTTTAAAATTAAACCAAACAACGTCGTTTGTTAAACGAGCCAAGTCGAACTCGAGTATTGCTGAGCTCGACTCGAACTTGAAAACTTTAAAAGTAAGCTCAACTCAACTCAAATTCACAAGCTAAAAATTATCAAGTTCAACTCAAACTCGAAATATAATATTGAAACTTGAACTCAAAAAGGCTTGAACTCAAAAAAAAATTAGAAGCTCGATTGAAGCCTAAAATTCGAGCTTGATTGAAGTGAAAGAATAGTTCACTCAATGCTCACCAAAAGGCTCCATGATTTTGAATGTCAAATTACCTCTATTATTTATAGAAGTTAGTAGTGATGAGCTTCTATGTTTCTTAGCAATGTGAGATTATTTTGTTCTCATATTTTTATTCTTTAGACTTTTGGGATGCTCTTCTATGTTTCTTAGCCATGTGGGATTGTTTTTAAAAAAAATAAACCAAACAATATCATTTTGTTATGATTTTTTTAACCCCAAATTTATTTTTTAATTATAGTTATATAATTATATTTATTATTTAATATGTTTTACCTTAAATATTATGTTGTAGTTAATTTGAATCATTTTGTTTCACTTGATTTTATGGTTTTTAACTTATATATATTATGACTTGCTTTGAATATGACTTGTGATATAAAAAATTATTTTTTATTAAATATTTTTGATATTTTTATTAAATATTTTTGGTTTTTTTATTTAATTTTTTAAATAATTATGACGTCGTTGATTCTTTTGACCGATCAAATTAATTTAACCGATTGAACAGTAAACCGATAATATGATCGGTTCGCTAACCGATCCGATTTTAAAAACCATGCAAAGAGAATAGAGGGAAATAAGTTAGGAGATAATGGAGTGATGGCCGTTTATTTTTGAGAAAAGATTGTGTGGTTTTGGTTTGCTAAAGAAACAGACTCCGCCTGCCGCTTATTGCCACGTCAAAATTAATGCATGATTCTAAGTCATCCACGTATACAATAGGTCTGTTTTCCCTTGTTGTTTCTTGACTTATTGAACTTTTTATATTTTCTAGTAAATAAATGGGCGTTTTTATCTAACTATATTTTACTTAAATAAATATTCATTTATAATTATGTTTTTAAATTGATATATTTTATAAAAAAAAATCTATTACAAATGTGATAAGTTAAATTAATTTTTTATAAAGAAACGTGTTCTATTAAGATAGATATATCCAGAGGTGGCAATCAGAGTTTTTTTTTTTTTTGCGTTGGCGCATTATTAGGCCTAATAAAACACTCCATATCTTATTTTGGGATCTATAATATTTTTTTATCGTGTAGGGTTCCATGATATATTATTTTTATATTACATGTCCAATATTTAAATATTTCTTGTGGTGATGAGTTTCATTAAAAAATATTATTTTTTTCAGATTATTATTTGAATTTAATTTTGAAAAAAATACATTGGACGTGACGAGTTCCATCTGGTTTAAAATATATAGCCGTTTAAATTTAAAAAATAGTCGTTGGAACTTATCATATCGAGGTGACGAGTTTCAACGTGAAGAGTTCCAATGTTCATTTTCACAAATTTTAACTATAAATAGGAGTTTGGTTAATTGATAGAGTTATAGGAGAACCAAAACATGTATTTGTGAAAAAAATATTTCAAGCAATTTTCGAAATATCATATTTGGTCTGATTACTCTGATATTGATGATTCAGATTCAAGCTCCTCTTCAGATGAGTAGTGGGTGAAAGAATCAATAAAGTTTATTCTTGATGAACATAAATAGTTGAAAAGAGGGGAGGAGAAGGAGAAGAAAAAGAATAAGAAGAAAAATGAAGTCGACGCAACAAACGACTCATCGAAAGGAATGAGAATAAGAAAAATAATAATGTAAAAATTGAGAGGATCAAGAAAAGGAAAAATTGTTTATTTTGTTAAAAATGTTTTAAATAAATGTATGAATTTGAGTTTAATTAAACATTATAGTTTGCAATTATATATGAAATGTAAAAAACTGAAAAATTATCATTGATATTGATAAATTTTGTAAAATTGATACAAAATGGGAATACGATTACAAAGGATTTATTGGCCCTCTCGATATCTTGAGAGATGTGGATAATGCTTCATGTTGTGGCCTTCACCTCTGCAATGGTCATATATCTTCGTCAAACATTGCTCTCTTTGAGGGTCATCCATACAGTATGAATTCGACTAGATTCAGTACGACATCTCAACTTCCTTTGTAACTATGGATTGGGCAACCATTCTTCAAAGACAGTAGGTGGTCAATATGCATCGTTCGGGAGATATTTAAACTTACAACTATATATGTTTGCGTATAGTGTGTAAGATATAACAATCATCAGCGCAAATCACATGGATACATACAACAACCGTGTGAGCGCATGGGTAACTGAAGGCTTGAAATCGACCACAATCACACAATCTTCTATTCAGATTACCGGTGTATGTGGCAGAAGTCCCACCCTCATGTGGTTGAACAAGTGCTTGGACAATATAAGTAGATTCAAGTCTCACAAAATTACGAACATACATTGATGTTGCATGGATTTGATTTTTGTTCATTGTTTTCTCCAGATCTAGATCCCAATTTTTACCTTCGTTGATAATTGCCTCTACTTGGGCACCTTTGTCTGCCCCTACTTTACCCAATCTAAAGTATGTCTCCTAAATAATACTTGCCACAAGAAGATGTCTAATGCCTTTTAGCACTAAATTGATACTTTTGGCAAGATTGGTTGTCATATGACCGTAACATGGACCTTCATCGTCATATGCATGTGCCCATCTTTCCCGAGGTATCTCAGATGCAAAGTTATAAATCTATTCTCCATACTTCCTCAAATTTTCCCGTCTTGAATGAAAGCTCAGTTCTAGTAATGTGTAGCCTTAAAAAATAGGTAGGTTTAAGTATAATTATAAACGAAGACAAAAAAATGAAAGGTAAAATTGAATAAGTTACTCATGTTGATAATCTCTTTCTTTATCTTCTTATTCTTGAACCTCGTCATACATTGGAAACAATATGACGTATGCAATAAGCAGGAAATGCATGCGGAGGTGACCACCTACTTTCCGGTCTGTCATCATGGCCAATAACCCATGTGAACGATCTGAGATCATATAAACCCCATATTGAGTGACAACATGAGAGAGCAAGTTTTAGAGAAAGAAACTCCACGTTTCCTTGGACTCATTTTTAACAATGGAGAATGTAATATGAAAGATGTTTCTGTCACCATCTTGTATAACAACTATCATCAGGAGGTGTTTGTATACACCGTACAAAAAACTGCTATCCACTTGAACCATCTGTTTGTAGTAACGAAAGTCTTCAATTTGTGATTTGAAAGCTCCGAACAAGCCTTTGAAAACTCGTTTCCCAATGATAACTTATCTATCAAATGTGGATGTAGGATAAGTATAGGAGCAAACAATGGTTCCTAGGATGAAATATTTCATTGCGTGCGACAGATATGGCAGTTAATTGTATGACTAATCCCAATCATAGTACAATAGTGTCATAGCTTTCTGTTTGGCCATCTAGGACTTGTAGTAAGACAAAATATAATCATATGTATTCCTTATTGATGTTATAACCACTGATATCGGGATTCTTGGAGTTTTCTTCACTAGTAGCTTCACGTATGCACATATGACATTGGAGTCTAAGTGCTTGTGGTCTTGTGTCAAGGAGCTGAATGTGCATCTATGTTGGTTGTGGAACCTTATGACTTCCCATAATATCTTTCGTTGTAGGTATGAGATATGTATCCTCCACTTACAACCAACATTGTTGTTAATACATCTAACAAAATGTGTCTTCTGATCAAACT